AATATTTCCATATATCATTCAAAAATTAATATAAATTTACATTTATCGATTAAATATTTATGTTATGTTATTGTTATTATTTAAAAATAGATAAATTAGATAAATTAAATTGATCCAAAAAATCCATTTTATAAGTAATTTAGTATCCTAAAAAAAATTTAACAGAAAATAAAAGAAAATGGAAACCCTGCTTTATAAATCTAAAGGATCTTACAGTAAATTTGGACCATATGTTTAGTTTTTATTCAAAGGGGAAAAAAAAGATTATCCATATCCTTTGATACTAAATATTTTAAAATAATTGAACCCTTATTTCAATTTATTGAATTTAAGTGAAGCTACAATCAATTCTTAATAATCTTAATTAGTAGAATGCTATAATTAATAAACAACATAGTTTTTTCAAGAATTCCTCCACAGTTATGCGAAATTGAAAATGCCACCTTTATCCTTCTATATATTTGGATAGTAAAATTAAGCTTTAATAACTAAAAAGTTTTATATTAACATTACTTAGCTGATATATGGAAATAAATTGTTTGAAGATATAATTAAATATTTTTAGAAACTTGATATTATCAAGCAACGAATTATTATCATTTCATATTCATAAATATGTAAAGGTAAAACAGGAGAACTATTTTTGTTCTTGAATCTTTAAAAAGCTTCTTTTAAAAATATCTTGAATGGGTGTCGATAAAATTGATATTTCTAAATATTAGTTTTTGGTTATAATATTATCATTCAAATAATTTAATCATAATTATATGCATTAAAATATGATCAAAAGCTAAAGATCTTGAAATTGTTAGAAGATCAGTTAATTTTAAATTAGTTCTTTTTATAGATTACTTAATAAAAATAAAAAAAAAAATTAAATTTGTTTGGAGTTACATAAATATTTCCAAGAAAAAAATCGAATAAAAGTATTTATCTTTGTATATAAGGAAAATTTTCTAATTTTTTTATTTCTTTTTGATTCATTAATTTAATAAATAAATTTAAAAATTCAATTTTTGAGTAAGTAAAATTCAAAAATGATCGCGTTTGTATTTCAATAAGCTCTGCTATACTGTATGATCACTTTGCTAGAATATGTTGCAAAAGATTTGAATAATATTTATATTTAAGTATCTATCAAGAAGTCAAAATGTTTAATAAATATTTAACCACTCTACTTGACTTGACTTATAGTTAAATTAATAAGTTTCAATTAAAATAAATCTAAAATGAATACCTTTTAGAAAAGTTAATCCTCCTATACGAAATCATATTTAACTATATGTTAAAATTATGAATTGCAATGAACATTAAAGTAAATGATTAAAATTATTTAGAAATAATTTATCTTTGATTGTTTTAAAATCTCCTTAAAACATACATTAGTCTTGATTGATTTATTCTTAAAGTTTATATTACTATCTAAACTGATTGGATTCATAACTTTTTATTTTCAAAATAAAGATTGTTATTAATATGAAGTTTATCAGAGAGATTTTTCTATAAGTAAATTAAAGAGGATTAGCATCGAAAACAAATTTACTAAAGATCAACAAATCATATATTCAAGAGATGGAGCAATCTAAATACACAAAGATTTATTTGTCTAAGGATTCAGTTAATATTTAGTACAAGTAGTTGAACTAATTTTCTTGAATAGTATGCACAATCTTACAATCAGAACAACCATCCCTATTTACATCATTTCCATCATCACATTCTTCGTATGTCCAAATTAAATCTTTGCAATCTTAATATTTGCAGCTTTCTTAATATTTGCCTAATTAATCTAAATATGTAAGACAAATTCCATCTTCACTTTCATTATAATTTTAAGCACACCAACATTTGTTATTGTTTAAAATTCGATTTAGTCTTGAATCACAACTCAAATAATTAATTTAATTACCTATGCAAGTTAAGCAAGATTAATAGAATTAAGAACAGCTGATTTTATTCCAAAAGTACCCTGAATTACAATTACCTTAAAAATTAATATCTAATTGTAAATTAGATAACAGATGATAGTAGAGAATGTTTTAATTATGTTTATCCCTGAATGAATTCTTAATTTCATGTATTTCAAAATACCGAGAAAAAATAAAGTATTATCATTCACTTTAACAATACACAACTCTAATATATTGTTGTACTGAAATATGAATTACAATTATTTAAAGAGTTTTCATTTTCATTGCATGGCTCACATTTCTAATTATACAGAAAATAGCCATCTAAACATTTTGCTACATATATTATAAGTATCACATTATGATGATTCACTTAAGGAATAACCATTTAAGCATATATCACAAAGGACTTAATCTTAGTAAAAAATATCGCAATTCTCGATAACATTAATATTTTAATTTGACTTAATCTATTCAGCTTTACTTTACTATAGTTATGATATATATAATGATACATTATATATATATCATAATTATAGTAAATTAGAATATTTTACTACCTTCTTCTACTAATTAATTCCTAGATATTGACCATAATTTAACCAATGAATTAATCATTTCTCCATCTGAATTTTTCTACTTCAATAATCTTTACTCCTGCAACAAAATAAAGTCTCACACATCTATAATTGTTATGTTTTAAGTATTCTTACCCATCCTACATCTGATGCACTATCACAATGGGCATTGTTAATTTAATATATATATTAATAATGCCACAATAAGCTTCAACATTTATTTCATCTATATTCACAACTCTTAATTCATTTCCTGGTACAATATCAACTTAATATTATCTAAATCCATATGCATCTGCTTTATTCATATGTCCTTTATTAATTTATTTTGCATATAAATAATTTTATTTACTTCATTTTGTATTGTGCAAAATGAGTAATAGCAAGATGTGCATTATTAACACATTAGGAGCACCATTTTACCAAACATGAGGATCAAATATTTTTCTAGTGAAATTAAATTTCACCGTAGTATCTTATGTACTAATTGTGAAAATAAATTTGCCAATAATCATAAATATTGTGGTTCATGTAGCAAAAATAGACTATTATAATTATATAATGACAATTTGTTCATATTCGCAAAATTTAGCCTCTATTAATCTCTTATCGACGAAATCAAGAAATCAAGGTCTCACATAAACATTTAAATAATAAGCTTTAAATTGGAAGAAGATGTAATATATATAGACTTTACGAGCTCTAATAAGAGCTGTATCTAAAATCATAGAAAAACATTCTTGTATTGTGATTCTATCTTTACTCACATCTTTAGGAAAATGTTTCTTTAATAAATCATGATCTCTCAGTTGAATGGCTACACTTGGAAGACATGCAATTGTATAGCAACATTAAAATCTTCCAATTCTGTTCTAAATGCTTCTAAAAAGCCTGTTACAGCAAACTTTTGAACTACAATATGGTACTCTATCAGGTATACTAATTAATATAAATTATATATTTAACAATAATAGTTTAAATTACTATAATCCAATCTCTCTTGAAATAACTT